TCCCCATTCAACAACTGATTTATTCCATAGCCATCCTGTTTTGCCAAATGTCCACCTTTTCCCCCCACCTCCCTACTTTGTTGCCTTAAACTGAATATCTATTCCACTCCCCAATACTGAAAGGGCAGCAAGATGTACCCCCTCTTTACAGGTCCCAGGCATCGTAGGCATTCTGAAGGGGTCAGTAGCATTAGACACATAACGCTGTCTTCTCCTTCCCAGCTGCTTTTAATGAGGCTTTACAGTCAAAGCCCCCCACAGTCTACTTTCTTAAAGTTAGCTATCTAGGTTGAGATTATTATAACAAACATAAATGCTTTATAATGGCAAATTTGCCTCAAAGATATGCAGAGTAGTTACCATGAGCAACGCAGAAAATGAGCTCCTGCACTGAAATGAATGTTTGGAGTTAAACTTCTCAGGTTGTGTGTGAGGATCCATTGTCAGCTCTGTTTCCCCACTAAGATCAGGCTTGTGTTAAGTGTTGTATATTTTGACCTGGGTCTAAGAAGGTCTCAGGAGAGATTAATTTGGCTCTGATTCTGGAAGCATTTTTTCCCCCATTTTCCAACAGATGATTTAACAGTGGTTGAGGAGTCCCCCACCCCACTGTATTTAGGGGCTCTGGCCAGATTGCTTCAGGATGCTCTGTTCCACAGATAGGAAGCTTAAGGAGCTGTCGGATACTTGTTTGAATGCACAATTGATAGGAATCAATATTTCTCCTTCCCCTTCTCTGTTCTCACTCATCTTTATTAACTCAGACAAGCACTCAGTTTCCCCCAAACCTCTGTTTTTGTGACAATGTATTGTCCACATTGGTGGGCGTGGAGCTACCAGCTGGCTGACTGTCCCTTTTGATGTTCTTCTGGCTTCCTCTGGAGAGGTAGCTCCAGAAGGTGTGCCTTGTGAGTGGGCAGAGAGGCGAGAGTCACTGTACCCAGGATGGGCATCCCTTCGTGCTTGTGCTCCTCACACGAAGTGTTCCCTTTTCATGAATTAGGCATTGCCACCTTCATAGAGCCGAGAACTTGTGCACAAAGAGGACCTATGGCATATTTTACAAGATTCAACCTTCACCAGCCTGGTTTTGTTCTCTTGCTGCAGTCTCCATGCAAACGACTCCAGGATCTTGATGTTGCAGCGCCCTCTAGTGTCACTGTGGCTCAGGCTCTCCTAGGGCTTTTCTTCCCATTCAGAAAATGTACACAGTACAGTCTGTCAAAACTGGCAGCATTTTAAATAGGCTTTCCCATATATGGTCAAAACAAATATGAGATGATTTTTCTCCCATTACAAAAGGGAATCTTACATGAAGATATGGGACCATTCCAGCTCCAGTTTTGTTCCTATTTCAAAATTTTGTGAAGCCTAGGAGTCCTGTGGCAATCATTCTTCCTGAGGAGTGGATCTTTCAGTTCAAGCCAGCTACGCTTTGTAAGGAAAGAGTATGAATTCCTTTCAAGAAAAGTAAATAAAAATGGGAGGCCAAGAAGAAGTTACTTTGATCTCTGCTAGAGAAAATACTGGGTAAGGGAAGAAGGAAAAAAAACAACAACCAGCTGGAAGAACCCTGTCCATTTGTTCTGAAAAGAGTGGCTCGTTTTCTGAAATGACTTTTGGACTAGAAATTTATCATCTGAAGAAAAATGGCTACTATGTGGTACATAGAATAACATAATACTCCTACCTAAATTAACGTCGTCGCAGGCTCCATAATAAAGATTTATGAGATACCCATCATATGAGAAATCCTATTATGGAAATCTCCATAGGTCTGTGTTTTGGTTGTAACTGTTCTCATGGTTATGAGCCAATCAGAAGCCCTGGTATTTTGTTTTCCTCTTTCACACTCCAGTCTTCTCCCTTTCTCCTTTGCCCTTACAACTAGAGTGACCCATTATTCTCCAGCCTGTCTACGTATTATAAGATGAAGAGATAAGGAAGTGCTGCCTCCTCAGCTTGGCTATTTAAGCAGACCATTTTCCTTCAGAGCATCCAAAATGACTGAACAATTTATCATTTCTTCTTTGTAAATCACTTTGAACTTTTATCTCAAGTTGATCTGTGAAGCTAAACATAAATTCTTGCTGTAGGATCCATGCTCTTGTCTACTGACAAAGCTCTAGGATATCTTATATAAATGTGTGTGTGTATGTATGTGTGTGTGTGTGTGTGTGTGTGTGTAGATAAAATTAGAATAGAAATAACAATTAGAGTATCATCTCTGCTTCTAATGCCAAACCACAAGGTGGCAAGTTGTTTTCAGTGCAACTTGGCATAGTGAAAACTACAGTTGGGCCAAACAGTTCTCTCTCTCTTAGCCTTAGGTTGGCCCATCTTAGATCAGAACATGCTGTTGATCTTGACTTGTTTGTCAGGGCTAACCTGGCATGGAGGTGTGAAACTTTAACGGTCCCTCTTTAGCTGCCCTCTATGAAACCTATGGTCAGAGAGCCTCCTTGCTGGGGCTAGTGGCTCTCAGACTCAAAACAAAGATGCATTTTTCTGTCTTGCTCTCTTTGTTCGAAAAAATATGAGGATTCTATAATGCATCATTTTAGCATTTATAAGTTGTTAACTGTTTTTTGTTTTGTTTTTTTGCGGTACGCGGGCCTCTCACTGCTGTGGCCTCTCCCGCTGCGGAGCACAGGCTCCGGACGCACAGGCTCAGCGGCCATGGCTCACGGGCCCAGCTGCTCCGTGGCATGTGGGATCCTCCCGGACCGGGGCACGAACCCACGTCCCCTGCATCGGCAGGCGGACCCCCAACCACTGCGCCACCAGGGAAGCCCTGTTAACTGTTTTAGTCATTATGAATGTTACATTTGTACAGCTTTGTAGTTTACAGATATGCTCTACATACTTGATCTCATTTGATTCTCATAATTGCCCTGTGAAGTACGTTTCAGTATTCTTTATATTGTCTCCTTTATTAGAAAGACTGGGACCCAGAGAAATTAAGAGAAATGCCCAAGGTTACACAGCTAGTAGCGAGGCTAAGTGCTAGGCCTCTCAAGTCTTTGGTGAGTGTCCTTTCTATAGGATGACAGCGAGAGTTTAACTACACAGTCTAATTCAGCCAAACTCAGTGGTATTTGATTGACTTTTCAAAGGCTGAGGAGTTGGGACCTTTGAACTTTCATCCCAGTAGGCAGTGTGATATTGAGCAAATTATTAAAACTGGAAATGGGGTTAATGGTACCATGTCCTGGATCTAACTCCCATACAACTAAGTGATGGCTAGTATAGGATTTTTGAATACCTAGTGATGTATAAATATGAAATATTGCCAACAGTATAGTATAGAAAGAATTCATGTTGTGACTAATGAGTGTATAGGATTATATATTATACTGCATGTGCTGAGACTTTGAGAGTTTTCCAAAGATAATACTTTCTGAAAGATATATGTTTGAACTTGAACTCAGTCTGGGGATATCTCTGTTTTAAGACCAGAAGTTTGCTTAAAGAAGAGATGCTTACTGTGCCCTCAAACTTATTAGGTAGGTGGTAGAAGACTTGAAGAAACTTGTTTTCAGACCTCTGTGTGTGTGTGTGCGCGTGTGTGCATGCGTGTGTGTGTGTGGCACTGAATCACTCATATCAAGTCTCTAACTGTAATAAATATGTATAAATACAGTAAATGAGAGAGGGATGTTCCTCTCTCTTGAGACTCCTTTGCCTTTGGTCCTTTTTTTTTTTTTAATATCTATTTGAATGGAAATCAGAGCATGCTGCTTCTCCGAACTGAGAACCCATCAGCGTCCTCCCAAGATGTACATTTTTCTTTTTAAATAGAAATGACTAGAAAAGCTTTTTAAAATTTGCATTTCTGTGTTACTGCAATAAACGGGCAAATGTAAACACTACAGAGCACCTGTTGCTGGGAGGCTTTGGTGTTCGTGAGATGCAGCAGCGTGCTCCTGCTGGGGAGGAGGAGTGGCAAGTGTGTACCTGCTTCCCAGGGTCGTGGAGGATCTGTCTGGACCAGACTATTATGATCTATGAACTATTATGATCTATGAACTGGTGTTGGAGACTCAGCCTTCCGTTGTCAACTTCTCATATCATATCATGAGGAGAATCCATTTAGGGGTGATTTTATTTACTCTTTGCTTTTCTAACCCTTTAAGACCAGAAATACAATAGTTGTTTTAGTATGTAGAACTCTTGGCTAATGTTTTTGATCAAGCAACTCTTCCTTGATCCGTAACCACTTAAGGTCTTTTTGAGAGGCCTTACTGCTTGAATATTAGGCCTTCAGTGAGGGCTGTTAAGAGAAAGTGTAAAACTCAGACCCCTGCCATTGAAATGTTGGTTTTGCTCTGACTAGTTGAGATCAACGATTCTCTCACTCTTTCATCTCTACCCTGCCAGTGAACCATGAGTGCCTGAGTTGTGACCATCACAATGACATTCGTTAAAAAGTTAGGAAAACCCACAGTTTACCTGGCCAATTGTATGTCACTCTCATGACCGGTGATATAATAAGGTATTCTGGCCTACTTTATGAGCCATTTATTGAGCTGCTGTATAAGTCTAGGCTGTAAACCTCCACAGAAAGCGGGTGGAAAATGACTTTTTGTTGTTCAGTTTTCTAGATGAGGGGCAAGGTACAGTGGAAAGAGGAAGCTTTGGTGTTAGACAGACTTAGGTTTGCAAACTGGTGGCCCTGGGGTTTTTTTGTTTTGCTCTGTTTTGGTTTTGGTTTGTTTCTTTAATTCTTAGGTCCTCCGCCTACTTTGAAGAGTTAGCGTAAGGACTAGAGATAATACACATGAAGTTAAGCATGTAGACACTGTTGCTGTCACTCAGCACAGGATTGCCAAGACCCTTTCTGATGACTCAGCTCTAACGCTGTGTCTTCACTGCAACACTGTTGCCTTTGCCATTGCAGACTCCCACCAGTCACCTTCCAGGTAACACTTCTTTACACATCATAAGCCTTATTATGAAAGTGTGCATTTTAAATTGTGTTCTTTGCTTTCTTCTTACAGATCTGTAAGAGCAAAGCTAAAGAATCGCAGCAGTATTATCACAGCTTGGCTGTCCGGCAGAGTCTGGCTGTCCATTTTAACATCCAGCAGGACTGTGGTCACTTCCTTGCTGAAGTTCCTAAACGTCTGCTTCCCTGGGAGGACCCTGATGCCCCGGAAGAGGAAGAGGATGAAATGGAAGCGACAGAAGAGGTGAAAGGAGGAACTGATGGAAAAAGCCCAGAGCCCGGCTCTGAAGCAGAGTCATCCCACAAAGAAAGCCAGGCAGTCGTTAGCAGGAAGCAGAGAAGCCACGTCGTGGTCATCACCAGAGAGGTTCCCTGTCTCACCGTGGCCGACTTTGTGCGAGACTCTCTAGCGCAGCATGGGAAAAGCCCTGACGTGTATGAGAGGCAAGTGTGTCTGCTGCTCTTACAGCTGTGCTCCGGCCTGGAGCACCTCAAACCCTACCACGTCACTCACTGCGATCTGCGTCTGGAGAACCTGCTGCTTGTCCATTACCAGCCCGGGGGACCCGCCCAGGGCCTTGGGCCTGCGGAGCCCAGCCCCACCTCTTCTTGTCCCACGAGGCTTATAGTAAGCAACTTCTCTCAAGCCAAGCAGAAGAGCCATCTGGTAGACCCTGAGATCCTCCGGGACCAGTCCCGCCTCGCCCCAGAGATCATCACAGCCACCCAGTATAAAAAGTGTGATGAGTTCCAGACAGGCATCCTCATCTACGAGATGCTGCACCTGCCCAACCCCTTCGATGAGAACCCAGAGCTGAAGGAGAAGGAATACACTCGAGCAGACCTGCCTCGCATCCCACTCCGCTCCCCCTATTCCCGGGGCCTGCAGCAGCTGGCCAGCTGCCTCTTGAACCCCAACCCTTCTGAGCGACTCCTCATTTCAGGCGCCAAAGGCATCCTCCAGTGTCTGCTCTGGGGCCCCCGGGAAGGCCTCTTCCAGACTTTCACTGCCTCCCCGAGCCCAGTGCAGAGGAATGCTCTGCTCCAAAACTGGCTAGACATCAAGCGAACACTGCTCATGATCAAGTTTGCTGAGAAGTCCCTGGACAGGGAAGGTGGCGTCAGCCTGGAGGACTGGCTTTGTGCTCAGTATTTGGCTTTTGCTACTCCAGACTCCCTCAGCTGCGTCGTGAAAATCCTGCAGCCCCGTTAACGTGTCCCAGTTGCTGCTCTTCATTGTCGCCTTCTTCAAGTGGCTCACACACTTCCCCTTCCTAGCACTCACACAGAATTCAAGGAAAGGGGAGAGACGAGCCTTCCATCCCCATCCACTCTGAAAGGTTGTCCTCAGCTCTGAATCCAGTGAGACTCTGAGTCCCTCTTAATTTCACAGAAAGTCAGCCGCACAAACATGCAGCTGCCTTCCATGGGAATGCCTTCTGCCCTAACTGTCCCCCAAATGCAGGGAAAGTGAAGACATGTCCTTGAAGGGACAGCTCCTCTGGTTTGAACTCAGTGAGCTGGGTCCAGTTCCTCCATAATTCTGAATAGCTCCTGTCTTTTTAACACCGTGTATTTATTCTCGCTAGCAATAGACGGATTTAACCAGTCCTTACCACCATCCACTAAGCTCTCACAACAGACTTTCTTCCTTTAAAGAATCAATAACTGACTCTCTTACCAGGCGGAGCTGCCATCCCTAGCATCAGCCCAGTTTTGGTTCCGGGGACTGTATCCTTTGTTCCAGGAGGAGTAGAAGGACGAGGAGAGATCCCATCCTCTGGGTCATGAACCCATTTTCATTTCTATTATCGATAAGTGTGTGCACTGCATGGAGGGCGGCCCTAACCGTCTCCCCTCTGCTGCCACTGCCTGATTCTCCTTCACCTCTACTCTCTCCCCACTTGCCAATGAAGTTTGGGCTTATCGGCCACTTGTGGCCCATTACAGAGCTGACCCAAGGTGGTGTCACCAGTGCCTCAGCAGGGTGGAGTGCAGTTCAGATCTTATAAATAGCTGGCAGGACACAAGGAGATGATTTTCCTGCATGTGCAATTCTCTAGGGGACATCAGGGGAACAGAGTTTAAAGTACTGTTCTTTGATTACTGTCAGAGCTGTCAACGTTGGCAGCCAGGGCTGCCGGTGCCCAGATCACAGTTTTCCCTCGAGCAGTAATTGGCCAGCTTCCTTCTGTCAGTAGCCCGCGTTAACTAGTCTACCAAATGCTGTAGACAACAGCCCTGCGCGAAAAGGCTGTCAGTGGAGCTGTGACGTCTCCTTAGAGGGCATGGCGTGGCTGGCTGTTAGGACGGCCAGAAGGCAGGGGAAGGGGAGAAGGCCGCTGATGGGACTGCTGACCTCCTCCCCAGAATGCCGGCCTTTTCTAGAGAGACCGCCTCCCAGTGCCCAGGCACATTGCTCCTTGTGACCCTCTGAAATGGCTCTGGAGGACAGCTCCCAGGGAACTTGGATTGCTGAGGTGGGTGGCTGAGAGCTGTTCACCGCACGTGGGGGCTGTGCTCCTCCTCTATGGATATATGTGCAATTTGGGTATGTATTTTTTTTTTTCGCTGTATATACAATGTTTATGTTGCAACTTCACCTGAAGCAATATCTCCAGAAACCCTCCCCTTCTTCCCTTGGCACATATTTGAGCTGAGTGACGAGTGTTCCTTCCACCGGGGTGTGTGCGTGTATGTGTGTGTGTGTGTGTGTGTGTGTGTGTTTTATTCCAAACTGTGAGTATCTGTTCTGTTTACTTCAACCTTGAAATCCCAAGAGTCACTCAGACAGTGTGAGAGTGTGTACACGTATGCACCCGTGTGTGTGCACATGCACGCTGGAAGTAGAGGCCAGGCCTCTGGGGGAGCAACCTGTGGCAGGGTTGATAGACGCGTTCTCTGCACTGGTTGGTGAGACAGCCCTGGGCCCCTCATCTACCGGTGCAGAGTTTGTTAAAGCCAAGCCTGATTGTGCAGTATTACTTAGGTAGCACGTTAGTGGCCTTTTGGTAATTTCTAAACTTTTAACATATTAACAACCTTTCATGTGATTCACCTATATCAAAGAGGATCAAGAAAGGAGAAGAATGTATTTTATTGTGCTCTTCTTTGTTTCTTTTTCTTTTTTTTTTTTTAGAGAATGGGACATGTGAGGCTCCCTATGGAACATGTGCCTGTCCTCCTGGCCAGCAGTACAGGACTTCCAGGGAAGAGAGCTGGTTGGCCCACAAAGAGTCTTGTCTCTGCCCCTAGGAATGGCCGCAAGGTGGGCATGCCGCTGCAGGCCAGCAGTCCACTCTCTCTCTCGGTGTCCTGTGACATGGCCACACCTTGCCTAGCAGGCTGGTGTTCGGTTCACCTTAGCATAGCCCATGTGCACATAACTCCCTGCCCAATTATACACTGAAGTGGCAGTGCACAGACCACTGACCCTGTCAGCCAGCACGTTCCCTTAGCAGCCCCCCTCCGTGGTTTGCATATTGAGACACTTTCTCAATGTCACTCTCGTGGTGCCTTGCCCATGTAAATTTGAATGTTGACTATTTAATGAGGTTTCATATTTAATGAAGAATGTTTCCTGGTCCCTCTATTTGTTCTCTAGGTATCCTCCCTCCCCCAACACACACACTTTTTTTCTCTGTTTCTGTTTTGCCTTGGACCCAGTCTTCTTCATTTTAACTCTATAGTATTATAATCATGGACACCCTCCACTACCGTTATCTCATAGCACTGGCAAACCGAGCACCTCTTCACATCAGATGTGTTTAGTACTGTTTTCATATTCAGATTTGTTAAGGGCAAAAGAGTAATGCCAACTAGTCAGAGAAGGGACTCAGGCGTCCCTGAGACAGGTGGCTAGATTAACAGCTCTCTGAGTGAGGGCCAAGGAATGTAAGGTGGGGAGGGAAGAAGGTGTTACAGGTTAGAGCAGAATAGGCAAAATAACCCCATTTCTAGGCAAGAAGTATTTACATCAGGTGGTCCTCCAGATATTTTTCCAAATATGATGAAATTCAGTCAATCTCATATTATCACAAATATTTTACATTTCCATTTTAATTGTAGTGGGAACTTCGAATACATTCATCAACTGGAAAGAAATCCTGCCCTCAGACACAGACAGACATACATACATATTTATATATATATATATATATGAGTTTTGGATTGTGACTAGTATAGCACTTTGTTTTCTCAAGTAATGTCAAGTTATTGTCTTCAATACTGATTGGATTTTTTCTCTTCTATTGAAGTTTATACTATAGATTCTTCCATTTATATTGAGAATTTGAACAATTAAGCCGCTATTGGAACTTTTCCTTAAGCCACATGAGCAAGAATAATCTCTCGTACACATTTGGGTACTAGAGAAACAGGACAATGGCTGGAGTAGCCAAGACCAAGACTGAATGTACAGCAGAGTGCCTTGTTAGCATGATAACCTCGTCTGGGAAGGAAGGGAATTAGATGTTCCACAGGAAGGACGGGGGCTGTGAGAGGGCTCTTTTGCTAGCCTGAGGAGAGCCCCTTTGGTGTACTAGTGTGATGTCCAGAAGCTAATTCGTCAAGAATAACAGCAGGATGGGGAAAAGAGCAGTCGCAACATGTGGAATCAACAACAAAAGAATCGGGAAGGACGTCCACCAACCCCTAGGCTAAGTCTGAATTGGAAGCCAGGAATATGGCAGTGGGTTTCAAGTTTTGCCCTCGGAAGATAAACCGGGTGAGATATATGGGGGGGCACAAGCACCCACACTCCCTAGCCTACTGATGTTGAGGGGCTAAAAGTAAAACCTATTTGTTAGGATTTCAAGACTCTGAGTAACCTTTCATTGTCAGTGGGCGACAGTTGTGCTTCCAAACTCAGAATAAGTTTGTGAACTTAGAAAACTCTAAGCCAAGAGATCTGAACCTCTAGAAATATTAATGATATTTCTGGGAGTTAAACTACCTAAAATTGTATTTTAAAGTTTCCAGCATTGTAAAATTTCCATGAAAGACCTTTGGGGCCTACTAAACGGTAGGACGTAGAAGGATTGCACTCAGCTTCCCAAATTTGAATTAAGAATACTTTGGTGCTGGGAAGCAACCTGACTTGGTTTTGCTGATAACCTGCAACTAGGATTTTTCCCTAGATGTTACCAGCAGTGATCTGAAAAAATACAGGCTAGTTCCAGAAATTGGGATGGACTTATTATTCTGCACTATATTCCAAATGATTCTAGATGTATAAATGAAGTATGAGCATACTTGGGGGTGGTGGGGAGGAACTTGACTCCCTGGGTTAACTCTGACATGTTTTTTATTCCCCTCACTAGTTGATAAGGATTAAAGATTCTGGTTCAGCCTAATGAGTAAACAGGATGGCTGCCCACGAAACCGGGCTATTAAGTTTTACCTCATTGAAGCTCATATTCTCAAAGGCCCTAAGTGCTGTGCTGAGACGAATCCAAGTGCCGCTCTTGCTGAAGTGCGCACTGCAGCCCAGCTGTCCACGCTGATGGCAGCGCTGAAAGTGGGGATTCCGTTGGACCAAAAATGATGCCATAAGGGAAGCCACAAGAGGTGCAGTGCAAGATCCTAGGTAGAGATTATGCCAAAGAAATCAAGCCTTTTTGTCCTGATGCTTCTTAGATGATGAGGTTGAGTTATGACAGATGCCATGGGAGGAGAATTCACATACATTCCACATCCAGGTATTCAGCTGATAAAATAATGCATCCTCAAATAAGCACCTATTTTTTTAAAACAAGTCCATTTTGTGTATTAGGAAAAAAAAGATGATGATGAAGAAGAAGAAGAAAACCTTGCGCAGATTATAAAGTTCCCCAGTATTTAAGGAGAAGGAACTGTTTCCTCTCTCGTTGACATGGTTGTGACTACTGCCCAAACTTCAGTTTGGGAACATCATATCCACGTAATACTGAGAGCTGAGGAATTTTTTAAGAGAGATATGGTAGTTTCCATAGGTTTGTTTAAAGAACTCTTGGGAAATTTCTTAACAAATTATAATATTTTTTTATAAACCTTCCTACTGAGGTGTTTATCACTCACCATCACCACCATTTAATATTTATAAGTGCCCATAATGTACAAGGTGCTATACAGCTGTTAAACACCCCCCTCTCTGCAGCTGTTTGAAATTAGAGTAGGTTTTTGCGTCAGCCACTGCTAGAAGCTTTCCCCACCTGGGCTGGCGGCAGGGGCTTGCATCCGGACATCCCATCGCATGTTTCCCACTCCAGAGAGCCTCCGCGTTTATTCCAGCTTCTCACCTTTACCCACCCATTTGCTTCCATGTTTGTTGTTGTTTTTTTTTTAATCCAGAAAGTTTCAGGGAATCCAAAGAGGTCGGACATTTTCTAACCTAGCAGAAGTACAGAGTCATATATTTTGCTACAAATATTATATTATGGAAAATCCACTTTGCCCGTGTAGTGTGTGGAAAGTATGTGTGTGTCCGCACTCATGATAACTTGAATGTTGAACCAGTCCTATGGCTTCAGGGTAGCGTTTTTGAAAGATAAACCACACTGCTTCAGGAAACTTGCTCCAAATACTACTTGGTTATCCCTTCCCTTAGCAGATGTGTGAACACACTGGGATGGGATTTTTCTGTTGATGATATGCCGGGCATTTTGGCGTGAGATGAGGGCAGAAGCCAGATGTTGTCCTTCTCAGTGATTTGAATCATGGCAGCCCTCATTCCACTCTCTCTTTCATTCCCCATGGCTCTGCCCATGCTCTCTTTTTGAAAATCTTTTTTCTTTTGCTCTTTCCTGGAGCTTCACCTCTACTTAACATGTTTTGGAGTTGTATAAACCTACCAATGAAAGGTCCCCTCTGTCACCAGGTGGCGCCGCCCTTTGGTTTGCTGTGGTACTTTGCTGTGTTCTCTGTGGCATCATGTTACTGTGTAAATAAATTCATTTTCATATACACTAAAAACCAGACGAGCGCTTGTCCTTTCAGCAGCTCTCCCACACTGACGTGCTGCGGGGGAGGGGGAGTTTGGTTGCAGACATGGTTACATCTTAAATTCCAGGATGCATGCCCTCTTGAATGCTCCTCCCTGCTGACCTGGACTATATTTCGATTCGTTCCCTCCCTAAACTGAGAAAACCAGGCATGGAAGGGAACGAGAAGGCCTTCAGCTTTCCCCCAGAGCTCAGAGGGCTGCGGGTTTGCTGTGTGAGATCGCCCCCTGGTGACCAGTCACCATATAGACTTCCTGGGTTTGTACTATCACAGGTTTGAGAGGTTTGGTTAGCAGGCTGTGGCTGAGCCTCTGAGCGGCCATCTGAGAGCTCTGCAGACAATACGAGCAAGGCAGGGCCTTGTACAGTATCATATGCTACAGAATCCACATCGTTTGCCTGTTCCTAAAGGTACACGGTCACACACAGTGTCCTCACAGAGGCAGACAAGCCAATGTGCAGGCACTTCAGGAGCCGAGAGTGGAGGCCACCGGGCTCAGGCAGGACGAGTCGGCAGTGGGCGGTGGCAGTGACAGCTGGCACGTTATTGGAGTAGAACGAGTGAAAGTGCAAACATGAGCTCTAAACCCCGGACAGTGGGCGCTGTCTCCAGCCCAGTGTTTCTGCTTCTCTCCACTAGCAAGCACTCTGGACTTTTCAGACATGGTATTTAAGGGATATTCCAGAAAACTGATTGCCATACTCAAGTTTTATGTTGCTGAGGAGGCAACACCCATATTCATGTGGGCCTCAGAGCTCTCTCTGTTGCCTGGGCCTAGGAGGAAGGGTCAGCAACAAAACTGAGAGACGACCCCCAGGGACACGGGCTCTGCTTGCTGGAGAGGAGCCGGGGAGCTAGCCTTCCTCGTTGTGAGCACAGCACACTGGCTTCTGAAGGAAGAGAACCAAAGACAAAGACAGACAGCTGGAGCTGTTCCAGGGATGGAGCACACTAGGCTTGGGTTGCTGTCTAATGCTCTGCTGGTGAGTGGCCAACCGGGGCCCCTGAAAAGATACAAGCTTGGATGGTGGGACCAGTTCAGGGCTGCCCAAGCCTGACTCCAAGTGAGGTGGAGCACGGTCATCAATGGGATCACTTTGTCCTTTGGTATAGCTGGAGACAGATCCTATCTCCCCTCCATCACCTTGCACAGCATGGGATCCATTCCTAGGAATTCCGTTAGTGGGCCCTCAGGAAGACCACTCTTCCCTTTTGATTCTGGGTTGTCCAGAGGTGATGGGCCACTGACATTTGAGTAGGGCCCAAGCCTTTGGCTTCCTACATGCCTGAGAACTGGCTTCTTTCAACCCAGGCCACAAAGAATCCTGAGTTCTTTCCTACCTGGAATTAACTGGTACGAGAAGCTCTCCGGGTGCCTGGCACTGAGTGTACACCCTCTGCTCCGGGAGCTCTTGCTGCTTTCCAAGGCCTCGCAAATTATGCTTCCTTTTAAGTGAGCCTGTGCTCTACAAGGGGAAGAACTTCATTAGTGCCTCAGGAGCCAAGAACTGCAGTTGGCGGATCACAGGTTGCCAGTAAGAGCAGGTCGAGGTAATTAACAGCTGAAACTTAAAAATTGGATTGCCTACGGGGGTGGGGGTGGGGGTGGTGAGTAGGGAGTTGGCTGCCAAGGTCTGGTTCTCTCAAACTTGCAGACCCCTGAGTGGAAACAGGCTGCCTGGGTAGAACCCCCGATCTCCTGGAGATAACATAACTCTCTGCACACACATATCCCAACCAGCTATTCCCTTACCCTCTGGAAGGTACATGGAAGCAACCAAAAGCCTGAGCCTTACTGGTCACCAGTCCCAGTTTGAGAATCCAAGCAGGGCTACTGGGTGCTGGGGAATGTGCTCGGTGAGGGGGACCCGGGGGCCCCAGGAGTAGAGGGGCTCCGAATCTCTTTCGGGGAGCAGAGCTGTCAGCTCTCTGAGTCCATCACCTCCACCACCCATCACTCAGCAGCCTACACCTGGGCTGGAGTCTTGGAACCAGGGGTCGGAGGTCAGGCAGAGTGAAAACCTGCAAGGCCGTGGCTCCTTATCAGCTCTTCCTCTCCCCACAAGCGCCTTTCCTCCCTGTGCCTCCCTCCACCACACACCCAGGGCACATCCGAAAACACCCTAACCCTGCTGCCACGGCCATCCCAGGCCAGGCCACTCAGGCCCCTCCCCGATGCTGAGGACAGAGCCCCACTGTGGGTGTCAGGCTCTGCAGGCCTCTTTCCCTCAGGCTCTGAGTGGCTCAGCGTCCCCCACTGACTTACCTCTGCCTCCTGACCCTGGGCCTCCTGCAGGTCAGGGCAGCCAGCCTTTCCCCCACGCTCTGTGGCCTGGGCACTGCTCAGAGAGGCCCTGGGCTGCCGCCGGTGGGAGCGTCAACACTACCAAAGGTGAGAGTGTGCTTCATCCCCACAACCTTCCAGGGAGATGGCTCCATTCTGCCCATTTTCACTCAACTAATCAGACTCAGGGTAGGAACCCAGATCTGTGTGCCTTCTTGTCAGTGCTGTTTCCTAGGGGCGCAACGGAGAGCAAGGGAGAGCTTCTTAGGGTTGAACTAGCTTCATTTTATCTTCACAACAACCCTATGAGGTAGGTTCTAGAATTATCCCCATTTTACCCATGAGAAGACAAGCCAGAGAGGTTTTGTTTGCCCCAAATCCCTAGTGAGGGAACTAGCATTTGTCCTCAAGACGGTCCGGCTCCTCCTCCCAGCTTCCCAGAGCTCATGGCCTTCCTCCCTCACCCCCTGCTGTTGCCCCAGAATCATCAGTGGCTTCCTGGTGCCCAGAGAAGACAACCCAATTGCAGAGCCCGAGTCCCGCCACCCGGTCATGCTTACTGCTGACCAGACCCCCAGGCCCTGCTTCGGCTGGCCTCCTTGCTGCTCGTCAAACACACCTGGAGATTTCCCTGCCCACAGGGTTCTTGTCCTTTTTCCTCCCCATTCTTCAGGGCCCCATTCAGCCAAGAAGCTGTTGGGGTGACTCCAACTGGAAGTGTTCCCTCAGCTATCTGCAATCGCCAACTTGCGCCTCAGACTCAGCTCTCGGCCTGGTGTGTGTCCTGCCTCCTGCCTCCGCTCTCTCCTCCCATCTGTCTCCTCAAGAGTCTGAGCGAGACTCGCAGGAGGGGCAGGGGCAGAACTGCGGCCCACGGGTCCTGGGCCGGGCTTCCCCACTGCCCAGCCTCACTCCAGCCCTCTGACCCCCATTCTACACATGAGGAGATTGAAACTCAGAGTGAGTGAGAAACTTGTCCAAATAAAGACGCAGACGTAGAGAATGGACTTGAGGACACAGGGAGGGGGAAGGGGAAGCTGGGACGAAGTGAGAGAGTGGCATGGACATATATACACTATCAAGTGTAAAATAGATAGCTAGTGGGAAGCAGCTACATAGCACAGGGAGATCAGCTCGGTGCTCTGTGACCACCTAGAGGGGTGGGATAGGGAGGGTGGGAGGGAGATGCAAGAGGGAGGAGATATAGGGATGTATGTATATGTATGGCTGATTCACTTTGTTATACAGCAGAAACTAACACACCATTGTAAAGCAATTATACGCCAATAAAGATGTTAAAAAAAAAAAAAAAGAAAAACTTGTCCAAGGCTGCACAGCTGGTAAGTAGTAGGGCTGAGATTCAAGCCCAGCCTGGCTCACTCAGAAGCCAGTTTTCTTCCCCACCACGTCACAAGTCTGCTAGCCTGTTTCTAGGCCAATGTATAATTCTGGGTCCTAGGGTCATTCACTCCAACCGTGACAGACTGGGGCAGCCTAGGAAGGCTTCCTGAAGCAAGCAGAGTGGGGATGGGGAAGGGGGCAAATCCAGAAAGGGCCTGCCAGGCTGAGCAGTCAGATCCTGGCTCCTGTAAGGAGCTGGCCAGGAACGGGGTGTCTGCTGAGGAGAGGGAGGTACTGGCCGCCTGTGGAAACTTCCCACTCAAGATGCCCCAGAGCAGACTTGCCTCCCGCCACCCCAACTCTGCAGGTGGAGAGGGGCAAAGTTTGCCAAGCAAGTAAACCCCAGTTTCACCCACCCAGCAGGTGCCTACCATGGGGGCCTCCTAGGACTGCTTCTGGGACAAAAGAAGGCAACTGAGTGACCATCAGCCACCATAGAGGTAACTGGCCACTTTGGCAACTTTCTTTTCCTGTGTGTAGGGGGTGGGGGTGGGAAGCAAAGGGGTGGACGGGAATCTACCTTCCATTCCTCCACCCTCTCCATTCCCCCCATGCCGTGGTGATCTAGATGGTAAAATGCTCAACCCCTTGCCCCTTTTTTGTGCAAATATACACAAAACATACACATACACCTGTACAACGTGTACAATATTCTTCAAATTGCTTTCCTCACTTAACTCACTTAAGGGCTGACCCAGTAGACATCACGATCATGGCACTTTTCAAAAGACAGCTTCTCTCACTAAAAATGACAGTACTATATAACATACATATATGTAAATTTATTATTCTTCTTATCATTTCTGCTTCTCTGGGCATCTAGTCACATTCTTGTAGGGATGGGTAAACAAAGAAATACGAGAAGCTACAAAACTCTCCCAAGAATTATAATGGAAGATGCGCAGATAGAGAGCTGAGTCCCCAGGTTGGGTAGAAAGACCATGTATCTCCTCAAATATTTCAATGAAATTTGAATCTTAAACCTCAGTGGGTTGTTGTTGCTGTTTTGACCTTTACAGAATGGTTCTCAGAGGCACTTGGAAGAGTGAATAGGTGAAAGAAACCCAGGAATTATTGAAATTGAGAGGCTATTTAAGTATATGAAAAAGCTATGATCAATAAAACAGTGTGATACAGATACAAGAAAAAAAAGGTCAGTGTAATGGAATAGGTAACTTAAAAACAAAGCTTATTATCTACAAAAATGCAATATAAGATCAGTAAGATATTACCATATGGAAGGGAAAGAAAGTCTTATCCAATAAGATGTGCTGGTACAATCAGTTAGCTATTTGGAAAATAATCTGCACTCTGTAAACTCAAATAAATCCAAGCAGATCAAACAAGGAGCTACATGGCACAAAGGAAAGAAAAGAGAAAAGAAACCCTAAGAACTAGGAAGAAAGCTAAGTCAATACCTGTTTTATCTGCTGTTGATAAAGGATTTTCTAACTTATAAAGCAACAGAAGGCACCTGAAAGGAAAAGATCAATAGGTTTGACTACATAAAGATGATAAACCTTCGTCCACTGAAAACATTAGAAACAAAATTGAAAAGTAAATAACCAGCCAGGAAAACCATTTTAACAAATATAATGGACATAGGGTTAAAATCCTGTTATAAAAAGCTTATACACATCATTAAGAACATAAAATGCCAATAGAGAGATGAGAACAGACAAGTCATAAAAGAATCCAAACACTTAAACTTTCTAGAAATAAGAGAAATGAAAAACT